ATTATTGGTTACCATTCGCTTCACATAACGTCTCATGACAGGAGTGATTTTTACAGCATCAACCAAAGGTATCTCAATCACAAGCTTCTCCATCAGAGCTTTGCATCGTGCATCATCAAGCTCTTGCTTGGACTTCCTAGGGCTCCTTGGGTAAGGAACTTTAGGTTTGTAGACTTTTTCCTCTGCAGATTTCGGATTCGGAGCATCAACAGCTTCGCTCTGCAATTGGTGACGCGTGACACTAGTGGTGGTGTCGCTCGTCACCGGCTCTGCAATCTCAGGAATTTCTTCAGAATCTTCTAAGTCCACGACTTCAGGTGCAGGAGGCGTCTTCGTGGGCTCAGAACTCAGATTTTTACCACTCCTCAACGTGATAGCACTGCAGTGATGCCTTGGATTGGTGTCAGTCTTCCCAGGAAGAAAACCCTCTTGCCTTTTAACAGAACCTGCAGTTTGGGCTACCTGTGTATCGAGCTGCTTGACATGGGTGTTCAGAACTTCGATTTTTCCATTCAGATCCAGGTAGAGAGCATCCATCTTCCCATTAAAGTCCACGGTGAGCTTCTGCTGACCTTCCAGAATCTGTTCCAGCATAGACTTCATCTCATTGTCAGGATTTTGAGGTTGAGATGAAGGAGTGCTGTAGTTTCTAGAAAAACTGTTGCTCGAAAAAGGTTTCTGGTACTGAGGCTTAGGCGTGTAACCAGAGAAGTTCTGATTACTGTTGAAGGTATTCCTCTGATTGTTTCCACTGTAACTTCTGTTACCTTGCTGATTACCAAACCTCTGACCCTGAAATCCTGATCCACTGACGAAGTTGACATCCTCTTCCTCAGCTGCATCCTCAGGTTCGAAACTCTCCACCTCCTGTGCGAATCTGACAGATTTCTTACCCACTAAAAGCCTGTGCACAGAATCAAGTTTAGCTTTCACCTCAGCCATCTGCGATCTATCCATGTTCCCAGCTTGCTTCTTTCGCTCAAGATCAGCATTCTTGGTGCTATTACTGGATGCCAAGTTTTCGATGAGCTCAATAGCTTCTTCTGGGTATCGAGTGTTGAAGTTGCCATTGCTTGCTGCATCAAGCGCCATCTGATACCTCCAGTCGATGCCTCTGAAGAAGATACCCAGCAACTGCACATCGCTGCAGTCTTGCTGGTACGATTTGAATCGCACCCAAGAAGCCTTGAACGCTTCAGTAGGGTCCTGAGAGAAAGTCGAGATCTTAGTCCTCAACTCCTCAGACCTAGCATCGTCGAAGAAGTTGTGCAGGAAGGCGTTCCTGGTCTCTTCCCAAGTGGTGAGTGATCCTGGCTCCAACTGCTTCAACCAGTTAGCTGCTTCTCCAGCAAGAGAGTAAGGAAACAGCTTGCAGAGGAGGAAATCATTGGACACTCCAATGTATTTGATGCTGGTGACCAAATCCTCAAACCTCTCGATGTGATCCATAGGGTGCTCATGAGAGTGGCCATGGAATGGGTGCTGATCCACAAGAGTGTAGTACACAGGCTTCAGCTCAAAATCGTTTATTTGAAACGCAGGAGCGCGAATCGCAGAACGATTTGCATAGAACTGCTCAGGCCTGTTGTAGTCTCCAAGTGTTCGTCCACGTCCAACTGCAGGTGCAGGTTCCCTCGCATTCCGATCCTCTGGAGCGTTCCTCTGTTGTGGAACGATCGCAGCATTCCCACGCGGTGCAGGTGGTGGATTCTGGTCAACAACATCCACTGGTAAAGGAGCTGGTGGAATGATGTTACCATCTCCATCAATCCTTTGGCCTCTCGCATTGCACAGATGACCCTCTCGGTCTCTCCAGGTTCCATCATCATCACGAACAAGTCCATTGGCGTTTTCCATCATTGCCGGATCTCTTGCTTTCCGCTTCGTTCGCTCTAACTCAGCTAGCTGTTCGTTGCTCAAATTCACTAGCGGGATGTCCTTGTTGCTCCTGGTTCCACGAGTATGCATAAACCTGAAACACCAAAAACAAAGAGAGAAAACGAAAATAAGTAAACTAGGTTAAAGAAAAGAAGGTGTCGCGCGACACCACAAGTGGTATCGCTCGACACTAAGTCGAAAAACTTAGTCGAAACTTCAAAAACTAGGTTTAATGGCGAAATCAAGTCCCGGCAACGGCGCCAAAACTTGATATGCTCAAAGTTTAATCCCTAAGCTACTCTGCAAGAGCACAGATGTGCAGTTGTAGTATCTAGGGGTCGAACCACAGAGACAAGAGATCACTCAATAAACCTTATGTAGATAGAGTTACGCTAAGCCGAAATATGCAGAACAAATAACAATGTGACAGAAATAAATAAAGCAGCGATGAAGACAGTTGTAAATTCGATGTGATAAAGGATAGGCCTAGGGTGATTTTCAAGAGATCAATGAATGCAAATCAACTTAACAAGTCAGGGTTCAGTTTAAGCACAGTTCTTGAACTCGAAACACAGAACTATAATTAACCAACTTCCGTTGTGAGAATTATCTAAGTTAAAATCCTAGAATTCCAAATTCCTTTGTAAATCCTACAGATTTAAACCAGCCTTAATTGCGCAAGTTCGATATTTTCACAAAGCATCTAAACCAAATTCCTTTGCGAATAGCTACTTTGCTCAACTCAGGTTCTTTCCAGTTATTCAATTACACTTCCGTGTCAATTAAGCAACCTAAGATCTAAGTTCTAGGTGATCAGTCCAGAATTAGTTTTAAGAACAACCTAAGGTGAAGAATAAATATATATGAATCCTAACTAGCAAGTTAATTGATCATTCAGAGAAAACCCTAATTAACCCTAAACCTAACAGGTGTTCTACTCAGACATGGTTATTGAAACAACAAACATGGTGAATAGAAAGCAATAGATTAAATCGAAATAGATTAAAGGGGTTCGAAATCTTCTCTCTAAACAAACAGAGTACAGACTTGTCTCCCCAAGCTCAGAAATCGCAAAAGCCGAAAACTCAGAGTATCTCTCTCTCAAAATCTAAGGTGAACGTAAAAAGGGAATAAAAATCCTATATATATCTCTAAGACATGTTTTGGGCTTCCTTGAAAACGTTTGGGCCCAACTCCTTCTTCAAATAGGGAACACAGATATGCTCAAAGTTTAATCCCTAAGCTACTCTGCAAGAGCACAGATGTGCAGTTGTAGTATCTAGGGGTCCAACCACAGAGACAAGAGATCACTCAATAAACCTTATGTAGATAGAGTTGCGCTAAGCCGAAATATGCAGAACAAATAACAATGTGACAGAAATAAATAAAGCAGCGATGAAGACAGTTGTAAATTCAATGTGATAAAGGATAGGCCTAGGGTGATTTTCAGGAGATCAATGAATGCAAATCAACTTAACAAGTCAGGGTTCAGTTTAAGCACAGTTCTTGAACTCGAAACACAGAACTATAATTAACCAACTTCCGTTGTGAGAATTATCTAAGTTAAAATCCTAGAATTCCAAATTCCTTTGTAAAGCCAGCTTGCCCTCAAGCAAACAGAACACCAAACAAGAGAAAGAAGTTTGAAAACACAGAGACTCAACCTTTCATTGGAACATCGCTTTGACCGTTCATCCTGCAACTTAACTACTGCTTCATCATTCCAAATCGAACCACCATGTACTTCTCCGCAGACATTCACAGCTTTCCAGACTAAATCCAAAATTTCACAACATTGTCCATAAACCCTCATCGCTGGATCTCTCTGATGATTCCAATGCCCAGAACCTTCTAGATTCTTTCCCATTCTGTACTCAAACAAATCAGCCTTACAAAATTTGGTACCTTTTCTCTCCCCCAGACTTATTCTTTTCGCACATTCATCATCTCTTTTCTTCTCTTTTTCTTATGGCGCATACTCGATAAGGATAAAGCTGTGAGTACTGATGGTGTTTGCCACCAAGTCCCCGAGTTGTCCCCTTACCTTGTATCAAAGGTTTTCAGCGAATAGTGGGGTCATGGGAAACATTCCTACCCCTCACTTCCTTCCTTTGTGTGATCATTCCAACTTAGAAGTGAAATAATGGGATCATTGGAAACATTCCTAGCCCTTCACTCCTAAGCGAAAATCATCTCAATCTTTTTGCCCTTTTTCTTTCTTAGCTCGTCACAAGGGAGAGAAATCACTTCATTAAATTTCACACAGGCTTTCATTGATCAAGTACGAATGAGGAATCAAGCTCTAAGGCATTAGTCACATCAGCGAGTTAAAAGTGAAGTTCAGTACTTAGCTCAGGTTAGTGGATTCTGTTGGAAACATGGACGCCTCTAGTCAACTGGTCAGCCTTTGGATTTTTCATTAGTCGGATCTAGACTGAATCTGCAGCAGTGGTCACTTAGGTGAAAGGTCAGCACAATAATTCCAGGAAAAGCATCATGATCTCCAACAAGTTTTGACTCAAAAACGTTTTGACACAACTGACTCTTAAGAAAAACAAACACAATGTCAGCAACTACCTCCCCTAGACTTGAACAACACTGTCCCCAGTGTTATCAAATCCGAAGTTGGTGACAAAAGAGAAAGTCAGAAGGAAGAATGCAACGGGTTAGAATATCTTACTACTCAGTTAGGTCGACCAACACACAGCTCAGATTCAGATGAAAACAAGCGTAGGTCAAAAGTGCAAGGGTGGTGACGCGCGATACCAAAGATGGTGTCGCTCGACACCACAGTGCAGAGAGCAATCGTCGCGATCATCTGTGTTAGAACTGTCAGATCACTCAGAGAAAAGTTAGTAGTAACAATACAACCCATAGATGCATAAATCCAACAAAGTCTCACAACATGTGTAGCTGACACAACAGACTCAAACAAACGAAAAGAAAAGATAAGAAAAACACAAGAAAAAAAAACAGAACCAGAATGACAAAGGAACTAGTCCTCATCGCCAGTAGTAGCATCATCGGAGGGTGTGGGTGAGCGAGATCGCGGGCGAGTAGGGCGAACACATCCGCAGCGAGAGATAGTAGCGATGGCACTCCAGATGCTCTGAAAACTCTGAATGACATACCGCTGGAAAGCAGCAGCCTCCATGGGAACCTCTGGCTCAGTGGGAAGATCAGGGAGAGGTACTGTGGTGTCTGCGGAGCGAGGTGTCTGGTCGTCCTCGGAAGTGGAAGCACGAGCTCTGGAACAGATTTTGGAAGGTCAGCAGAAGCTCACCGTGGACTTTAATGGGAATATGGATGCTCTCTACCTCGATCTGAATGGAAAAATAGAAGTTCTGAACACCCATGTCAAGCAGCTCGATACACAGGTAGCCCAAACTGCAGGTTCTGTTAAAAGGCAAGAGGGTTTTCTTCCTGGGAAGACTGACACCAATCCAAGGCATCACTGCAGTGCTATCACGTTGAGGAGTGGTAAAAATCTGAGTTCTGAGCCCACGAAGACGCCTCCTGCACCTGAAGTCGTGGACTTAGAAGATTCTGAAGAAATTCCTGAGATTGCAGAGCCGGTGACGAGCGACACCACCACTAGTGTCACGCGTCACCAATTGCAGAGCGAGGCTGTTGATGCTCCGAATCCGAAATCTGCAGAGGAAAAAGTCTACAAACCTAAAGTTCCTTACCCAAGGAGCCCTAGGAAGTCCAAGCAAGAGCTTGATGATGCACGATGCAAAGCTCTGATGGAGAAGCTTGTGATTGAGATACCTTTGGTTGATGCTGTAAAAATCACTCCTGTCATGAGACGTTATGTGAAGCGAATGGTAACCAATAATCTCAGCCATGAACAAGGGGTGATGATGATATCTGAGCAAGGCAGTGCAGTGATTCAGAACCGAATTCCAGAGAAGCTGTCTGATCCAGGAAGCTTTGTCTTGGATTGCTCTATCTTCACAGAGAGATTCAAGAGATCGCTGTGTGATCTGGGTTCAAGTGTTAATCTCATGCCTTATTCGGTAGCTGTCAATCTCGGCATGACTGATTTCAAGCCAACAAGGATCTCCCTCATCCTAGCTGATCGTTCGACAAGGATACCTGAAGGGGTGCTAGAAGATGTTCCAATCAAGGTTGGAGACTGCATGATACCGACTGACTTTGTGGTTTGGAGTATGGAGAGGAGCCTAAAGATCCTTTTATCCTTGGGAGACCTTTTCTAGCTACAGCAGGTGCTATCATCGATGTCAGGAAAGGCAGGATTGCTCTGAATGTTGGAGATCTGGTGATGAACTTTGACATGGACAAGCTGATGAAGAAGCCCACAATCGATAGTCAGACCTTCTATGTCGATACTCTCACAGAGTTTGCTGAGGAGTTTCTCCATGAGATGCTGCCTACAGACCCACTTGAGAGAGCTCTGACCACGTCTGCCTCTGAGGCTGAACACTTGGACGAAATTTCAGCATCTTACTCGAAGATGTTGGACTCCAGCGAGCATGTGATGCAGCTAGCATCGCAGGTGGAACAGCTTGAGACTCCTGCGAAGGTGAAGCAGTTATCCGACTGGAGTGAGGAGAAAGCTCCTAAGATTGAGTTCAAACAACTCCCTGCAGGACTAAGGTACGCATTCCTGGGCCCTAATTCTACTTATCCAGTCATTATCGATTCTTCTTTGAACAATGCTGAGGTTACCTTACTACTGAGCAAGCTGCACAAGCATCGCAAAGCTTTTGGCTATTCTCTTGATGATATTTCAGGTATCTCACCAGAATTGTGCATGCACCGAATCCACCTGGAGGATGAGTCGAAGTCGTCGATTGAGCACCAGCGCAGGTTGAACCCTAACCTGAAAGACGTCGTCAAAAAGGAGATCATGAAGTTGCTGGAAGCTGGAATCATCTATCCAATTTCAGATAGTGCCTGGGTGAGTCCTGTGCACGTGGTTCCTAAGAAAGGAGGGGTTACTGTTGTGAAGAATGACAAGGATGAGTTGATTCCGACGCGCACAGTGACTGGACACAGGATGTGCATCGATTACAGGAAGCTGAATGCAGCGACCAGGAAAGATCACTTTCCATTGCCCTTTATTGATCAGATGCTGGAGAGACTTGAAAGCCATCCCTACTACTGCTTCCTCGATGGGTACTCAGGATTTTTCCAGATCTCTATCCACCCAGACGATCAGGAGAAGACCACCTTTACATGCCCATACGGCACTTTCGCATATCGCGACGTTTCAGAGATGTATGATGTCCATCTTCACTGACATGATTGAGGATTTCATGGAGGTCTTTATGGATGATTTCTCAGTCTACGGATCATCTTTTAAGGACTGTCTGGATAATCTCTGCAAGGTTCTGGCTCGCTGTGAAGAGAAACACTTGGTCCTTAACTGGGAAAAGTGTCACTTTATGGTCAGAGATGGGATTGTGCTTGGACACAAGGTTTCTGCAGCTGGTATCGAAGTGGACCGTGCGAAGATCGACGTCATGACGAGCTTGCCACCACCCGATTCTGCGAAATCGGTTAGAAGTTTTCTGGGTCATGCAGGCTTCTATCGTCGCTTCATCAAAGATTTCAGCAAGATTGCACGTCCTCTTACTGCTCTGCTCTGCAAAGATGCTAAGTTTGAGTTTACAGATGAGTGCCTTGCTGCGTTCGAACAGATCAAGCATGCCCTGATAAGCGCCCCCATTGTGCAGCCTCCTGACTGGAATTTGCCTTTTGAGGTGATGTGTGATGCTAGTGATTTTGCTGTTGGTGCTGTTCTAGGACAGAAGAAGGATAAAAAGCTTCATGCCATCTACTATGCCAGTCGAACTCTGGATGATGCTCAAAGGAATTATGCTACTACTGAGAAAGAGCTGCTGGCTGTGGTCTTTGCTTTTGAGAAATTTCGGCCATACCTTGTGGGATCGAAAGTGATTGTGCACACAGAACATTCTGCACTCAAATACTTGATGCAGAAGAAGGATGCGAAGCCTAGGTTGCTGCGATGGGTGCTACTCCTTCAGGAATTCGATATTGAGGTCAAGGAAAAGAAGGGGGTTGAGAATGGTGTGGCAGATCATCTCTCACGCATCAGGGTTGAAGACGACGTACCCATAGACGATTTCCTGCCAGAAGAGAATGTGTATTATGTGGAAACCAAGTCCCAGAGCAGTTTTGACGAAGAATTGCAGGTTTTTCGAGTTGGAGGAACGTTAGTGACGAGCGACACCACCACTAGTGTCGCGCGTCACCTTTCTCAGGCGAACACAGAGACCTACCCAACGCCCTTGGTATGCCGATATTGCCAATTATCTCGCTGCAGAGGCTGAGCCTGATAACTTTAAGGGGTATGCAAAGAAGAAGTTCCTGAGAGAGCTGCGAAGATACCACTGGGATGAGCCATATCTGTACAAGCACTGTTCTGATGGGATTTACAGAAGATGCATTGCAGAGTCAGAAGTTCCAGAAGTGCTGTTTCATTGTCATGGATCCGAATATGCTGGACACTTGGCAACATTCAAAACAGTGTCTAAGGTTCTTCAAGCAGGCTTCTGGTGGCCCACCATGTTTCGCGATGCACATGCATTCATCTCGCAGTGCGATGTTTGTCAGAGGAGAGGAAAGATCAGCAAACGACATGAGATGCCACAGAATTTCATCCTTGAGGTTGAGGTATTCGACTGCTGGGGTATCGATTTCATGGGTCCTTTTCCCTCTTCTTATGGGAACAAGTACATCCTGGTTGCTGTTGATTATGTCTCAAAGTGGGTCGAAGCCATTGCCAGTCCCACGATTCTTCAGTGGTCCTTAAGATGTTCAAGACCATCATCTTTCCTCGATTTGGAGTGCCTCGAATTGTTATAAGTGATGGTGGTTCTCACTTTATTAACAAGATTTTCGAAAAACTCCTAAGGAAGCATGGAGTTCATCATCGAGTTGCCACTCCTTATCACCCTCAGACGAGTGGACAGGTCGAAGTCTCGAATCAATCAAAGAGATTCTGGAGAAGACAGTGGGTAAAACTCGAAAGGATTGGGCTGCAAAGTTGGACGATGCACTCTGGGCGTACAGGACAGCGTTCAAAACACCTCTAGGCACCACACCTTTCCACTTACTCTATGGAAAACCCTGTCACCTTCCAGTGGAGATCGAACACAAGGCAGCCTGGGCGATAAAACTGATGAATTTCGACATCAAGTCTGCTGCAGAGAGGAGACTGATACAACTGAATGAGTTGGACGAAATCAGGTACCATGCCTATGAGAATTCGAAGTTGTACAAAGAGAGGACCAAGGCATATCACGATTCCAAAATCCTCTCCAGGCAATTCGAACCGAATGATCAGGTACTTCTGTATAACTCTCGTTTGCAATTGTTTCCTGGTAAACTTCGTTCTCGATGGTCAGGTCCTTTCGTAGTCAAAGAGGTTCGCCCCTATGGTGCTATCGTCCTCCTCACACCAGATGGTAGCAGATCGTTCACCGTCAATGGACAAAGGGTGAAGCACTACTGGGCCAAAGCTGAGATTCCGGATGGACATATCGTGCCTCTGGATGGTGCACCTCCCGCTTGAATCGCCATCAAGTCAAGCTAATGACTTAAAACAAGCGCTTGGTGGAAGGCAATCCACTGGTGAGTCTGTAAATAAGTCTTTTGTTTCACTGATTTTCGTTTTTCTTTTCGTGTTTTAGGTGAAGCAGAGGCTGGTGTCGAGCGACACTACCTTCGGTGTCGCTTGTCACTTGTTTCCTCTATAAAAGAAAAAAAAAAAAAAAAAAAATTAGGACCTAGCTTAACCGGAATTCCAGAACCGGAGGGGAATCAGAAGCGGATCGGGAACGAGGACTATACCATTCGCACTTTGCAAGCGTCGCGCGTCACCATCTTTGGTATCGCCCCACTCACAAACAGGTAAGTTCTCTCTTTCCCACGTTTATTTAAAACCCTCACACCTTTTTCCTCCCTTCCTCCTCACCGCACTCGACACTTTCGCCATAACCACCCTCACCAAAACCGAAATTACTCATACCCTCACCGATTTGAGCGATTTCAAAGCCTAACCTCCTCCGATTTTCGCCCTCTATCTGTTTCTCTCATCGATTTGCCACTCCAACAAGGTACACACTTCGAATCACCACTTTTTCGATTTCGGTACCTCAGGTTTGTTTGTCGAAATTGCTCTTTTTGGGTTGATGCTTTGCTTGATTTCACCTATGGTGATCCATTTAGGGCAAATTTCGACCACCCCCATGCGCTTTAAACGGCTCATTTGGCTAGATTTGAGAATTTTGTTCTTCATGCCAATTGCACTTAAAAATTTGGGAGTATGAAATTTGTTGTGGTTTTAGGGAGATTTCTGTATGCATGTGTCGTTGGACTCCTCCTTGTCGCTGGTCCGACTTGCTGGAGAACATCACTTGTACTTACTTGTTCACTGACTTGAGATTCTTTTCTTTTGTTGGTTTGCTCTGTTTCCTCTTTTGCAGATGCCTCCACGCAAGCGACAATGCAGGGACGCCACCTCCAGTTCGCAACCTCCAGTCGAAGTAACCTTCCAACTCGGAGACCACGTCGAGGTTTTGGATGGTGACCTGTGGCAACGTGCAACCGTGAAAGCTGTACTCGCACGATCTCGTTACTTGGTCAAATTCCTTGACTCCCAGGAGTTGCAGGTGTTCCCGACTTCCCATCTTCGCCCTGCTGCACCACCACGAGCCTCCGCCTCACCGCCACCATCGCCTCCTGCACTCCCTGATTCACCTGACGAGAGGATTAGGCGCCCTTGGCCTAAACGAGAGAATCTGCGCATTCCAACACGCAGGATCTGGGACGAGCCACCTCGAGCTGTTGCTGAGAGCGTTGAGTGTCTACACAGGCCAATTTCAGATGATTGGGATGATTACGACACTTTCTTCTACAACGCCTGGCTCAATGTGAAGATACTCCCCACCAGGTTTTTGGACATTCTGGATATGAGGCATTTGGGTTTGGATTCTGAGCTCCTGCGTTTGTTGACGAAGCTTGGATTGGGATCTATGGCTACCAGACCCTACGATCTGTTTCCTGACCTTGTTCGTCAGTTCCTCGCCTCTGTTCGCATCTACTACACCAACGAACATGCTCCAAATGCGCAATAAACTGGGTTGATGGAACTTGGGACATTCATCATGATCCCTACGTAATTCTGCAGAGATTGATTGGTCTGTTTTGGGAATTGATTTGGAGTTAAAGTTTCTTATTTTATATTAGAAAGCACTCGTGGCGTAATGGATAAGGCGTTTGACTTTGATGTGTGTTGTCGTGTTGAGGGTTGTCAAGTTTTACCCTAAATAAAATCAATAGCCGCAAATGCACAGCTGATCGATTGTAGTACTTAGGGATCGAATCCACAGGGAAGGACGATCTTTCCTTCAAAAGCCTTCGAAAGAAATATAAAGTAGGAAGTCTAGAACCAAACGATTTTGTAGGAGGTTTTGGTGGTGTGTTTAAAATGGAAAAACGAAATCTAAAAAGAAACTAAGGAAATTAAAATGACCTAATAA